AGGTCTATGACTACTCAGGCTGGTAAATTTCCATAAAAGCTGCCTGTTTATAATAGCTTATGGCCATCTGTTGCAATGTTTTTTCACAGAGATCCAAGACTTGGTGTTAGTATACATATATGACAGGCCTATTGCTGATTTTAGGCCTATGGCTGATTTTAGGCCTTCAGTGTGTAAGCAGGGCTGCCCCTGACATCTCCTCCCTTCTCTAAGTATAGAAGGGCTGTGGCAATTCTAATCTTTCGAAGGCAGGGATAGAGGCCTGACCTCCAGTAATTGAAAGGGACTTTGTAGTGGCTCTGGTGCCCCTGTTGTTGTCCAATGTGGCATGAGGGCCTTACCTATCCTGATATCTTTTTCCTGGAGAGGGGGATACTTTTGATATCAACACCTATGCAGTCAGGCTTGTCCCTCAGGGAACCCAGAGAGATATTTTTAACTTTTATTGGTATTCCCTTGCAGTGCTTAGCCTCTCAGCCTAAGCAAGAATTCAGGTCGCCTGTCAGAGGGGGTTCTGGGTGGCCCCTCTCTGCTTGGTCTAGGGGCGGAAGTCCCCTCTTTTAGGTTGGGTGGAGATGGGTTTTGGGAACACCCTGGATAGAGTAACAACCTCATCTTGAGTCTCATGGTCCTCCATAGATACTTATCATAGTGTATCTGAATAGGCTTTGCTACCAAATTATCTGTTGTTTCACAAAGTTAGTCAGCCTGTTTAAGGCCCAGAGACCAAAAGACATAAACAAAAATAACCCAATTAATGGTCCCAAGATGGGAGGAAGTGGGGTTGACAACCATGGAGAGGCTGAAACCAATTCTTATACCAGCTCTCATCTTTCTCTTTCTCTCTCTGTCTTTTCTCAGGGCCTTCTCTGACCTTTTTCATGCTCTCTTTAACCATCCCTGTCTTGACTATGTAAAGGCAATATTCTTCTTTAAGGGCTGACCACAGTCAAGAGCTGTACACAGTCTTTTCTATTGTAAAAGAGTAAATCAAGTCCAATAAAGTCCTTTGCAATTTTTGGAGGTCTCCTCAGACAGCGAAACGAGGGATTTCTTCAGATTAGTGATGTCAATCTCTAGCTGTTTGATGTTCTTGTCAATGGCCCATCGAAGGTCTGAGTAGTAATAAGTTTGGAGGCCAGCATCTGGATTAGAACTTCTAACAGCAGACATCATGGTGATTCATTTTTACATGAGATACTGTCTGGGTTAGAGCTCCTGGGAGGCCCTCTTCCTCTGGGTTTTGTGAGGTTGGATACAGAGCTGCCGCCTGGGATCTGCTCTGTGCTTGAGCCCAGACTGGAAGTCCCCCTATTTTCAATTTTCACTAGGTTTTTTTTTTGTTTGTTTGTTTTTTTTTTTTTTTTTTTTTTTTTGTCTACAAACAAAAAGATTGTGAGGGTTTGAATGAGATGTCCCCTATGTCTTGAACATTTGTGTGATTGGTTGCTAGTTTCTGGTGTTGTTTGAAAATGGGGCTTTAAGGAGTATTATCTTTCTGAGGAAGTAAGAATATCACTGGAGAGAGATGCTGAGGTTTCAAAAACCACACATCACTCAGAGTTTACACTTTCTGCTTCCTGCAAATTGATCAGGATATAATCTCCTAGCTTCCAGTTCCAGCCATGAAGCTCGCCTCTTGCAATGGATCCCTATGGTGAAGATGCTTGTCTTTTATTCCTGAAACTATAATTCCAGTGTAAACCTTTTCTTCTATAAGTTGTCTTGCTCTTGGTTTCTTATCTCAACAATAGAAAGTAATTAATACCAACGTATTATGTTAGCCTGTTGTAAAAAATTTTAATTCCAATCCAGGGTTTCTACCCCACCTTGATCATTCAGTTTCCAGGTAGAAGACACACAACTTTTCTTATTTACAATTAGCCTTAAACAGCACAAGAGCCCAGCAGATGTCTACCCTCTATGCTATCAGAATCTACTTTCCCATTGATAACCCTGAGTTATTACTTACTGTTTTTTCACTTGGGCTGCTCTAAACTCCAATTGTCCAGGTCTCAAGGTCATGTTTTCATGACTCTCCTCAATTTTCCTTTTCTCCCTCATGGGTCTCCTCTGATCTCTAAGCCTGGGAACCCTAAGCCATCCCTATGTCTCTTCTGCTCAGCAATTGACAGTCAGCAACTTTACTCATCAATAAGAAATAACTTGGAGGGCAAGTTCAATTAAGTCTACGTGCATGGGTACTGTCTTGTCTCTGGGGCAGCCAGGTCTTGAGGAATTAGTATTAGCTTTAGAATATAAATAACATCAGGCTAACTGCACTATGTTTGCAGAGTCTGGAAGTCAATACCTTTTAACAAGTCTTAGATAAGTCTTTCATATTGTTATCATACGCCTTTGCAACTATTGTTTCAATTGTTTTGTTGATATTTTAGTAAAGCAGCTCCTACCTTTGCATGTGAATGACAGTGGTCTGCAGTTTTCTTCTGTGTCTTCATCTGGCTCTGGTTTCAGCATCACTGGCAAGTCTTTCTAGTGTTTGTGCTGTCTGAGGGTAGATTTGTGGCATTTATTTTTCAAATCATTATAGAATTTATTAATGAAATTCAGTTTTGTAGTAATAGAGCCACAAGTGTTATGATAGATGCTATAAGTACCTTTCACTTATTTTCATAGATTAGTTTCATATGAAGATAACAAGCCAAAATAAAGTTAGACATACCCTCAGTCCCACAGGATGACATCAAGCCATGGTTCAGAAAAACACAAACAATATACACTCAGCCATGGAGAAGGGGCCTCTCAGCTATGTTCAAACAGGCTTCCAGAAAAGCCTTCTGATGTGTCCTAAGGGAGTAAACAGATTGAAACTAAGAAGACAGAAGGGAAACAGTCTCACAGCAGCAATTTCACACAAGATAGGACTGGCAACTGTGGTACTCTGCCCTTCAGCAGCCATTGCTCCCTCCGTTCGCAGATCAATCCAGCATCACAGTAACTGATGGGGTAGAACAAAAGCAAGCCTTGCCTAAAAGTGTGAGTATAGGTCATACCGAGATGTTCAGGGTCACGTGGGCTATCCATGAAGGATAATGAATGAACATTCATTATAATATTCATTATCCTTGTTAAAAATCCGTGTGGTGGGTCCTGACTTTTCTTCGTGGGATGATTTTTATTTTTGTTTTATTTATTAGTTTATTTTGATGCAGGGTCTCACGTATACCATGCTAGTCTCTACCTTGTGCATTGTGCAGTTGAGGAAGATCTTGAACTTCAATCCTCCTGCACTCTCCCCTTGAGTGCCCAGATTACAGTCATACCCTGTCATGCCTACTTTTTGTAGTTCTGGGGATCAAATCCAGGGTTGTTCATGCTGGCAAGTACTCTGCTAATGGGACCATATTTCTAGCCCTTGTAAACATTTGACTTCCAAGTTTGACTTCTTTTCTTATTGTAGGCTTAGTCAGACTTTTTATATCCTCTTTTGTTAGGAAAAGAAATCAATCAATGTTGTGTTCTTTCTTTCTAGAAAGTTATAAGATTTATATCTTCCTGGCAGAAGACTACTTTATAGTCTTTTTGTATTTCTGTCAGAGTATCATTAGTGTCTCTCTTGTTTCTAATGCTGGCAATGCTCATTTTTTTTAACAGTTTGCCAAAAACCTAGCCTTTCATTTCATTGATGTTTCTTATACTTTTACTTCCTTGATTCAGTCTTTTTTCTAGTCATTTTTACTTCTTCTGTACTGACTTCTTTGGATTTTTTTTTTTTTTTTGCTGCTTTTCTCTGGAAGTGTCTTACTTTATAACATTTTGAGGTGGGACTGGTTGCTAACTTCTTTAAATTTTGCTATTCTGTATGCTTGTTTATTACTGAACTTTCATTGTATTCCTCAATGTTATTCTATTGGAGAGTGGAAGTTCATTTCCAAACTAGCTAAAAGCATATGAAAATACACAATACAGTTTGATTAGCTGAGTCAAATGTTTGCCAGTGGAAGGGTTCGTGATACTCCCAGCATGGTTTTCGGTTCATATCAAGTTTTTCAGCCAAAGTTAAGAGAGTGGAATGTTTTGAAGAGCCAAGAAAAGAGACACGCAAGGTCTCTGCAAGATGTTGGAAGGAATGATTAACAACTTGATGAGAAATTTCTTTCACTACACATGATTGGAACAGAGAAACTGGCACTTTGGTACAGCTGTCCTGAAAAGACACTTTTCTTCTCCATTTCTCTAACTGTCCTTATAGCCAAACAGCCAAAGTGGTCCTAACATAACAAACAGCCATGGAGAATTGGATCATAATTAATACAGAATTCTGCAACTTCTGTCTGTGTTGCCAGACTGCCACCATCGAAGGGAGCACAGTATACATATTAAAACACACACACACATATGCACACACACACACACACACACACACACACACACACCACAAAGGATAATTGCATTGGCTTTTCTGATATTTAAATTTTTTGCATAAATAAACCTATGCGTACAACATAATATTTTTGCAACACGTATTGGCCCAAAAGTGTATCAGGTCAAGTTATAAGGCTTTTGTTTCTGTATAGAAATGTAGTCCATGGTACTGTCTTCAGTTAATTCAGTAACTTTGCAAGACTTAGCAAGGATGGGAAAGAGAAATGAGGACAAACAATAGGTTTCAGGTGGATGAACATTTTAATTTCATTATGAAAATAAGATACTGATATTTTTTAGACATTGATTTCTTTCAGTAGAGAACATTTATTGCAGCCAACCTTAAATGTCTTATATATCTCATGACTTGTAGGGTTTGAATTGAAGAGCTGGAACAGGGAATGTCCCCACACCAGGATTAAAAGCAGAAAATTTAGTAGCATCTCTAGAGAGCTTAGGAGGTCAGAATTATCCTAACTTCCCCATCTCTCTTTTCTGAGCCCCTAGTCTGCTGCTTCTTCTTAGGTATGAACACGTTTCCCATGGAAACTCATATGCCTGCTATAACCCATCTTCAGGTTCCTGTATTTGATTTTTCATACTATTATTATTTTTTAAATATGGAACATTTCATGAATTTGCATCATCCTTGTATAAGGCCTATGTTAATCTTCTTTGTATTGTTCTAATTTTGGTGTACGAGTTTATAAAAGCAAACATAATTTCTTAAAATTTTTAATCGTTTAATAGCACAGCGATACAAGTTGTGGAACATGCTGATATACATAGCAAATGAACAAAGTCTTCACCTTTGATAAAGTAAAAAGTATATATACATGCATACAAGACCTTGAACTTCAAAATAACAAAATATGGATATGTATACTTCTAACAGTTAAATCCTTTGCCTTTATGTATTTTTGAAACAAGAGTTATTTCTGAAACAAGTGAACTCCATCATGATTTTTAATTCTTAGAGGTAAATCCATGGTGCTTTGATATTTCACAGTGTTGAAGAACATACTTTGGATGTGAAAGCAATATCCATCTCTTAAATTGAAATTGAATTAAAATAAGTAAAGGGACAAAAACTTGGTTACATATTTCTGATGAATAGTACAAAAAAAATCTACTAGGAGAATGACTGAGCAATGTAGAAAGGCTCATAAACTTATAATAAATGGAGCACTGGAGCGAATGAACGAACAGTATTTCAATTAGATTCAGAAAGAGATAGCTTTCAAAGGAGAATGAAAACCTCCTAGGTATGAAGAGGCCTCACTAAAGGTGTGTGGGTTATAACCACAGCAGGGTTCATACTGAACTCACTAGCAAACTCTTTTCTTTTTAGAGACTGGGGTGTCCTAGAGGCCATTGAACTGCTACCATTTTTGATACACAATTTCTGCATCCTGATCAAGCTGGTGTCATATACTTACACTGACTTACCATCATGCTGTGTGGTGTGGCTTCCTATAAGTCTCCTTAGTTTGAGTCAATTACTTTTTGTTTGTTTTTGTACACGTAGTCATTTTATACTCTATAGAGGAATTATTTACAAAGGAGTTGTGTCTATCATATTGACTAGTTTAGTTTCCTTTAAAAGACTTTTAAAGAAGAATTGGGACTCAGTGGGATTATGACAAGGGATTATGTGCCAAGAAAAGACTTGTGAGTAGCTGGGAATTTGAGGTGAGGTTCAAGTTGAATGAACTGTAAAAATTCTTATGTACTTTCCCCAGCATTTTGGTATTCTCCTGTGTAAAGTAAAGGATATTGTTCCAGAAACATCTGACTTGTTATTATTCTTATTACTAATTTAAAACTATTATTGTAGAGGGGGATATGTGCACCACAGCATCTACGTTGAAGCAAAAGAACAACTTTGTGGAGTATCTTCTCTTTTTCCCCTTCACATAGGTTCTGGGGATCGAACTTAGGTCACCAGACTTTTTCAGCAAGCCCTTTTACTCACTGAGCCTGTCCTGAGACTTCTTCAACTTTTTGCATTCCTAAGTGCATATTCAAAGCAATAATACATTCCTTCGGATGCTGTGATGAATGCCACTGATTTGGCACCCATTCAAATTAGGATTTAAGTGTATTATTTAACAAATTTTCTAGGTTTGAGACCGGGAGCTGTTTTTATGTTGCTAACAGTTGTGCTTGCTCCACACTGAAAGATGTCCCAGATATAAGGGGGAAAAAAAGCAGAAATCATCTGTAAACAGAAATAGGAGACATGACTTTTGTAATTGTTTCTACTCTTTAGTCATAAAGCCATGACTGTACTTTGGTATGTTTGAGAAATTGTACAAGAAATACTTAAATGTTCTGTGAAGACAATTTTGAGGATGGAGAACACTTGAAAATGTAAGATTATAGTTACTATTTGACTCTCAGTTCTGATTTTCCCAAGTGCTTTGCTGGACTCAGAACAGTTCTTGCCCTTCTGATGTCCCTTTGCCTCGTTGTGAGGCCATTACTTGAAGCTGGCCAACAGCTTTTTGTCCTTTATAATAGACTCATTTAGTTCAACAGTGGCTCAGCCCAAGAAATCATGAAGCAGACAAACATTTTCAAGTGTTCTGCTTGTCAACACCTTCGTCATTAATTCTGCCCAATTTGGAGGAAATAAAATCTCACTGTTGATGTAATAGTGATTTATTAAAATGTAATCAACATAGGAAACAACAAAGAAGATAGCAAAACATAACTCCAAATGCTACAATCTTAAAATAACAACAATTAGCTCTATAAATATATTTTCTTGACATCTATCTATACCTCTTTGTGAATAGACAAACATAATAGAAATACATTGACTCACTAAAATTCATGAACAAAGCAGTAATTTCATTAAATCAGATCATATAATAAATGCATATCGTAGAGTATTAACTCAAGTGACCAGGGTGTATTGTGTTTTCTTACACAAAGCACATATAAGTCTTTTGTTTGCCCTTCATTAAATCAATCGAAAGCATTGCAATCTGGGCCAACATTCTAGCTCTGTTGCTCAGAAACAGACATGAGCTGCAGATCATGTATAATATGTTAGCAACTGAGGTATTAATATACCTGGCCAAACTAATTTGACAAGGAAACCTGTTTAGTTGGTTTATAAATAGATACTTACGTAAATGAAGTTGCATGATAGTAATTAAACCAAAATATTTTTTCTTTTTTTATTGGATATTTTATGTATTTACACTTCTAATGTTATCCCCTTTCCCAGTTTTCTCTCCAGAAACCCCATCTCCCATACCCCTTCCTCCTGCTTCTCAGAGGATGTTCCCTCTATCACCGACCTACTCCCACCTCACTGCCTTGGCATTCCCCTACACTGGGAAATCGAGCCTTCATAGAACCCAGGGCTTCTCCTCCTATTGATGCCACACAATGCCATCCTCTGCTACATATGCAGCTGGAGCCATGGGTCACTCCATGTATAAACTTTGATCTCTAGTTTAGTCCCTGGGAGCTCTGGGGTGTCTGATTGGTTGATATTGTTGTTCTTCATATGGGGTTGCAAAGCCCTTCAGCTCCTTCAGTCCTTTGTCTAACTCCTCCATTGGGAACCCCATGCTACATCCAAAGAATGGCTGTGAGCTTTCACCTCTGTATTTGCCAGGCTTTGGCAGAGCCTCTAGGGAGACAGCTATAATGATCCTATCAGCAAGCACTTCTTGGCATCCACAATAGTGTCTGAGTTTGTTGTGTGTATATAGGATGAATCCCCAAATGGGGCAGTCTCTGGATGGCCTTTCCTTCAGTCTCTGCTCCACACTTTGTCCCCTTATTTCTTTTAGACAGGAGCCCTTCTGGGTTAAGAATTTGGAGATGAGTAGGTGGCCCCATCCCCCAACTGGGGGCCTTGCCTAGGCTCTGGATATGGTCTCTACACCCTCTCCCTCCCCATTTTTGGGCATTTCAGCTATTTCATCCCTGTTGATTCCTGGGAGCCTCTTGCTTTCCTGGCTTTCCTGGCATCTGGGACTTGCTGGTGGATACCCACAGTTTCCTATCTCCCATTACTACATACCTCTGTTCAAATTCCTGACCCTCTGTATATCAGCCCTGTCTCCTCTCATACCTGATCTTGCCCCTTTTTCTTCCTCCCTTTTCTTTTTTCCTTTCAAGTCCCTCCCACCCTCTACCTCCTGTATTTTGTTCCCCCTACAAAGAAGGACTGAAGCATCCATATTTTGGTGTTTCTTCTTCTTGAGCTTCATATGGTCTGTGAATTGTAGCTTCAGTATTCTAAACTTTTGGGCTAATATCTACTTATCAGTGAGTACATACCATGTGTGTTCTTTTGTGACTGGGTTACCTCACTCAGGATATTTTCTAGTTACATCCATTTGCCTAAGAATTTCTCGAGTTCATTGGTTTTAGTAGCTGAGTAATACTCCATTGTATAAATGTACCACATTTTCTGTATCCACTCATCTGTTGAAGGACATCTGGGTTCTTTCCAGCTTTTGGATATTATAAATAAGGCTGCTATGAACATAGTGGCGCATGTGTCCTTGTTATATGTTGGAGCATCTTTTGGGTATATATGCCCAGGAGGGATATAGCTGGGTCCTCATGTAGTACTATGTCCAATTTTCTGAGGAACAGCCAGACTGATTTCCAGAGGAATTGTACCAGCTTGCAATCCCACCAACAATGGAAGTGTTCCTCTTTCTCCGCATCCTCACCAGCTTCTACGGTCACCTGAGTTTTTGACCTTAGCCATTCTGACTGGTGTGAGGTGGAATCTCAGGGCCATTTTGATTTGCATTTCCCTGATGACTAAGAATTTTGAACATATTTTTTAGGTGCTTCCTCCATTTCCTCAGTTGAGAATTCTTTGTTTAGCTCTGTACCCCATTTTTAATACAGTTATTTGGTTCTCTGGAGTCTAACTTCTTGAGTTCTTTGTATATATTGGATTAGCCCTCTATCAGATGTAGGATTGGTAAAGATCTTTTCCCAATCTGTTGGTTGCCGCTTTGTCTTACTGACAGTGTCCTTTGCCTTACAGAAGCTTTGTTATTTTATGAGGTCTCATTTGTCCATTGCTGATCTTAGAGCACAAGCCATTGGTGTTCAGGAAATTTTGTTCATTCTGTTCAGAAAATTTTCTCCTGTGCCCATATCTTCAAGGCTCCTCACCACTTTCTCTCCTATTAGTTTCAGTGTATTTGGTTTTAAGTGGGGGTCCTTGATCCACTTGGACTTGAGCTTTGTACAAGGAGATAAGAATGGATCAATGTGTATTCTTCTACTTGCTGACTGTCAGTTGAACGAGCACCATTTGTTGAAAATACTGTCTTTTCCATTGGATAGTTTTAGCTCCTTTGTCAAAGATCAAGTGACCATACGTGTGTGGGTTTATTTCTGTGTATTCAATTCTATTCCATTGATCTACCTGCCTCCCACTATACCAACACCATGCAGTTTTTAATCACTATTGCTCTGTAGTACAGCTTGAGGTCAGGGATGGTGATTATTCCAGAAGTTCTTTTATAGTTGAGAATAGTTTTCGCTATCCTGGGTTTTTTGTTAATCCAAATGAATTTGAAAACTGCTTTTTTTTTTAAAACTCTATGAAGAATTGAATGGGAATTTTGATGGGGATTGCATTGAATCTGTAGATTACTTTCGGCAAGATAGCCATTTTTACTATATTAATCCTGCCAATTCATGAGCATGGGAGATTTTTCCATC